CTTGGACACTTATTATTCCTATTTCATACCTTCTGGGCATATGTTTCTACCCATCTCAATTCTCTTCTTTCTTCTTCTCATGCTGAAATATTCATCTACCTATAGACATCCAAGGAACTCTGTTGGTACACTGTTTAAGTCATTCAGCTGCTAACCAAAAGGTTGGTGGTTTGAATCCACCAGCTGCTCTGTGGAAGAAAGATGAATCGGCCTACCTCCATAAGATTTAAAGCTTTGCAAATTCTATACGGCAATTCTACTGTATGCTATAGGGTTGCTATTTGTCAGATTTGACTCAATGGCAGTGCTTTGTTTTTTGGTTTTATAAATATCTTATTGCTTCAAGACTTTCTAAATTTGACAATTCTGATTCAATCAGATGAATGTAGTTGAAAATGATTTCCCTCTCCTATTACTTTTCTAGCAACTAAGATATATCACTCACAGAACACTTATTATATAGAATATGCACTGCCCTTGTGTGTGAGGATTTGGATCTATGTGTACTCTCCTTTTTTCCTCCCCTACATTAGAGTGTACATTTTCAAGGTCAGGATTAATTTTTCATGTAACTTTGAAACCCTACTGCACTTGGAATACAGCCTTACACAAAGTTGGCATTTGATAAAATTAAGCTGAATATATTCAGACTAAAAACAATTACATCCATAAAAATGTAAGAGTTATGGGCCTGATCACTGGCGATTATGCCTTCTGAATACAGAGTACACGAAGAGCCAAGTAAAATGGATGACTTTGTACTATGCAAATTCCCCACACTTCATATTAAAAAAAAAAATCCATAGGTAATGCAGAATTTGGCTTAATTCCCACAGAAAGGACAAAGCAGTTTCATTTAAATATTCCTTCTAGTCCTCAAGAGTCAACATTTTATGATGTGCATAAGTAGGACAGGAGACAGTGTTTTTTTTTAAAAAAAGTGATCTCACAGAAAGATCAATTTTATTTACAGATTTGAGAAACTAAAACTGGAAAAGCTTAAAATGTCAATTTTGGTAAGACTTTTCTTCTCATGGAAGTGTTTTAATGTAATATGAAGTTTAATTTCAGAGCAATTGTCACAAAAATCAAGTAAATTGGATTTTAAAAGGTAATAATGTCATTTTTTGTACTATATACATTTTTCTGTTCATGCATTTCAGTAAATAAAAATACAATGTACCTTCCTGATGAAGCAATGTCAGAATAAGAAATTTAAAATTATATTGTGCCTACTAGTATAGATTATTTTCATTATTTGATCACTTCATTACATAAATTCTTTGTAATAAAATAATCCCAAAAGTCAATGAACTATTTTAAATAAATTGTATAGAAAAATATGTATTTTCTAGAACCGAAAAAAATAAAAAGAATATATTGAAGAAGTAGAACCATTATATCCCACAGATAATTAAAAAAAAAAAACTTTTAATATGACGGTAATACACATGATAACACTTCATACAGTCTTGATCTGTCATGAGCTTTGCCAAAAGGTTCGTACAATTGCCCACATACAGCTGTTGTTGTAGTTAGGGTAGTTAAACAGCAGAAAAAGAATGCTTTATAAATAATAATAATAATAATAATAACCCCACCATGTAGATGAGAAAAATAGGAAAGAGAGTCAAATATTTAAATAGGGAATAGGGGTTGGGCTTATTTGCCATGTTCTCACTGTATAAGCAGATAAGCAAAATTTATTTAGTTATAGAATTAATTCAGGATGTTTGTATGAACAAAGAAAATAAACAGTGATGAGCAAAATTAATGTTAAATGGATGCTTTAATTTAGAAAAGATGTATAATTACTAATGAATCATAACATTGGTTATTATTTAGTAGATCTCATAATTTCAAAATGGAAAATTATTTCCATAGTTCTTATTTTATCAAACCTGAGTTGGTGAGTTTTTACTTACCTAGTCTATCTAAGACACTTGCCTGCTAACCAGACGGCTGGCGGTTCAAACCCACCAGCCACTCCTCGGAAGGAAGGTTGGGCAATCCTACTTCCGTAGTGATACTGCCTCGGAAACCCAAGGAGGGGTCGCTATGAGTCGGGTCCGACTCGACGGCACATAACAACAACAACAACAGTCTATGTTCGGGAGCTCTGGTAGCATAGTGGCTAAAGCACTTGACTGCTAACCAGAAGGCTGGCGGTTCAAACCCACCAGCCACTCCTCAGAAGGAAGGTTGGGCAATCCTACTTCCGTAGTGATACTGCCTCGGAAACCCAAGGAGGGGTCGCTATGAGTTGGGGCCGACTCGACGGCACATAACAACAACAACAACAACAGTCTATGTTCAGAAAACCAAAACACAATCTACATAAATAAATTAGGAAAAGATCAAGTTTGCTTATCCATCAATTATAACATCATTTACTTATTATTAAATATGAACATGGCATTTTATTCAAGTCTATGAAATATATATTGTTTCCAGATAAGGAAATCACTATTAGCATAAAACAATGTTCAAAAGCAGCCTATAGCATGTTTACAAAGAAAACTTCTGGGTTTTGGAGAAAAATAGGTTTAGGTTAAAGATTAAGTATTTACTTTATGATTGACTAGTCACTTAAAATAAACAATCTTCTAAATCAGGCTTAAATCTTATCATGCCTCAGTATCTTTTCTATTTTAGGGGCAGGTGAGATAACTCAGATAGCTCTTTCTTCACCAATCCATTATAATGTACTGAAGAAGATCATTTGACCAATCACTTAACAAAAATAGAAGTGACATTCAAGTGATTGGTAACTCAATGAATAAAGTTTAAACTTTACCATTTATTATATTTAAGGAGCTCTGGTGGCACAGTGCCTGAGGCATTTCACTGCTAACTGGAAGGTTGGCTGTTCAAACCCACGAGCCACTCTTTGGAAAGGAAGACTGGGCAATCTACTTCCATAGAGATACTGCTTTGGAAACCCAAGGAGGGGTTGCAGTTGTTATGAGTTTTCTGGTCTGTAATCTTTATAGAAAGAAGCCCTGGTGGAACAACCCAGCTGCTAACCAAAAGACTGGTGGTCTGAACCCACCCAGCAACTCTAAGAGAGAGAGACCTGGTGACCTGCTTCCTTTAAGAGTACAGCCTACACAACACTAAGGGGCAGTTTTACTGTGGCATATGGGATCATTATGAATAGAAATCAACTAGACATCTAACAACAATCGTTATGGAAGCAGGTCACCAAGCCTTTCTTCCACAACACTGCTGGGTGTGTTCAAATGGCCAAACTTTAGATTCATAATCAAGTGCAAATGGCACACCCAGGATTGTGATACTCTGAAATTATATACTGAAATACATATTCTAAAATTATATACTGAAAAAATAAGCAAGAGAACCATCATTATTTTGTTTCTCAGACATTTGGCTTGCATTTTTTTCCCTCAAACACGGATGCATTTTTTTTTCATCTTATACATGCAAGGCTAGAATATGACTCCACCACTTTCTAGCTGTGATACTGGGTATACTACTAACTTCTCTTAGCTTCACAAAATGGGGATCCTAAAGTATTTTAGTGGGCTGTTGTGAGAACTGAATGAGAGCAATCATGTGAAGAACCTAGTACAGTGCCCGGCACATAGTAAATGTGCAATGAATTTTAGCTGTTATTTTTCTTCCTAACGTAATTATTGATTTTTTTTTTTTTTTTTCTGTTGCAAACAGCTCCTCAATTCTTGGAAAATACAAAACCAAACCACTGCCATCGAGTCGACTCTGACTCATATATACCCTCATTGGGTTTCCAAGGCAAATCTTTACAGAAGTAGATTTCCCCATCTTCCTTCTGTGAAGGGGCTAGTGGGGTTGAACTGCTAACCTTCTGGTTAGCAATCAAATGCCTTCGGCACTGTGTCACCAGAGCTCCTTTTAAATTCTTGAAGCAACTCATATTTAACAAAAGTGGGACCACTTAGATTCAGGGCTGAGGTTACATGCACTTGAATCTCCTAATAAAAGATAAGCCCTCTGTAGGCCTTTTTCAGGGAGCATAAATGCACCCCTCATGTGCTCCCACAGCACTGTATATGCCTTTTTGTGGGGATCACCACACTGTATTTGAATTAGTTGATTATGTTCAGTCTTCACCACCATACTGTATTGTCTTGTAGGATATGACATCTTGGCATCCTATCACAAAGCAAGTAATCTGCGCACGCTGGCCCAATGGATGAGTTAGTGTAAAGAAATGAGTCTGATCCCATTATTTTTAGTTACAGAACATGTGTACATTCTTTGGTGTTTCAAATTACATTTTTCAACAGATGGTCTAGATCCAGAGAGGAGGTCAGGGTAGAGGGTTTTAGTGTTGGAGACATAGTGCAGAATGTATAAAGGCAATGTGCAGAAGGCAATGTGCTGCAAATAAAGTATTTTAGAAGACTGATACAAAACCAATTTTTATTTTCCCACAAATGATAACTCTATTTCACTAGTAATGATCTGATTTATATCCATCTTACTTTATTTAAGTATGACTATCCAAGGAAAATTCTAATGAAGCATTCTGGATAAAGTTGAAAAGCAACAGTTATTACAAATGAGGCTTATGGAATAGGAAAGAGGCACACAGCTAAAGGAGGTTTGACTGCAAGTAAGAATCAAAAAACTATTTATGATGTAGAGGTAGGTACTTAACACAATGGCAAAAGAAAAAAAAAAATGTTCAAGAAATAAATTGTAAAAGTCACCCAGATGCAAAGTACTTAGTAATGCCAAAACCTGTACACAAATGATAAAATTTATGGTGTATTATACACACTAGAAAACATGGAAATTTTCACTTCTGAAAAATCAAAGAAGCTGGAGACTGGCAGATCTTAGTGCTAAACTAGCCATTAAGTGTGTACTCAGAATAAGAGATCAGAGAGAGAGGGAGGGAAAAAAAAAAGTACGAAAATACTCCCAAGTCCTCAAAACAATCACATGCTCTGAGTCTGTCCCTCAGTGATACTTCTCATTGGAAAAGTACTTACATTAGGCCTCAGCTTGGCGGCCAAGTCATAGTACTTCTCAGCTGCTTCATTGAGGCTAGCCTGTCTGTTAAAGGAAAAAAAAAAAAAAAGAGAGAGAGAGAGAGAAAGAAAATAAAAATATATCATTTAATTTAAAATAGCAGGTAAACTGAAAAACTAAACCCACTGTGATTGAGCCAATTTTGACTCTAGTGACCCTGTAGGACAGAGCAGAACTGGCCCCTAGGCAATCTGAATGTAATCTTTGTGGAAGCACACTGCCAAATCTTTTTCTCGATGAGTGGCTGGTGAGTTCAAACTACTGATCTTTTTGGTTTGGATCTGAGTGCTTTAACCACTGAACTATCAGGGTTTCTTAAAATTGAAAATGAGTGTACGGAATCACTGCACAGCAAAATAATACTTTAAAAAATAAATTACAATCACATCAATGGAACACTAAGTTGTTCAAGTAGAAAAAGCTCATCAAAAATTAAAGGCTTGCAATTATGTTTGAAGCATTTTATATAACTCAACACAATATTATTTACTAGATATTATTTTAAATTTGTATATATATTATCATTTTAAAAAGCTGTTTAACTTTTCCAAGCTTCTTCTTGCTGTTGTTAGGTGTCATCGAGTTGGTTCTGACTCATAGTAACCTTATATACAACACAACACAACACTGCCTGGTCCTGCACCATGCTCACAATTGTTGCCATGATTAGTGTCGTTGCAGTGAGTGTGCTGTGCAATTCCATCTCATTGAATGTCTTCCACTTTTTTCACTGACCTCTACTTTACCAAGCATGATATCCTTCACTTGGGAATGGTTCTGCCTGATAACATGTCTAAAGAACTCAAGACAAAGTCTTGCCTCCTTGCTTTCAAGGCACTTCTGGCTGTACTTCTTTCAAAACAGATTATGTGTTCTTCTAGTAGTTCATGATATATTCAATATTCTTCACCAACACATCATAATTCAAAGGCATGAATTCTTCTTTGGTCTTCCTTATTACACTGTCCAGCTTTCACAAGCATTTGAGGAGACTGAAAATACCATGGCTTAAGTCAGGTGCACCTGAGTCCTCAAGATAACATCTTTGCTTTTGAACATTTTAAAGTGGCCTTTTGCAGTGGATTTGCTATGCACTGCTGTTGGGCATTGGTTGTGGAGTCAAGTAAAAGAAAATCCTTGACAACGTCAATATTTCAAAAATAATGAAATTCCAAGCTAACCTGGATATTATGTTAGAGCTTTGGGATTCTCTAGCTTCAACATGATGCCCATCCCCTCACCCAAATCTTTCTTTTTTAAATTAGAGACTGTCAAAGTTCTTAGTTGGCATTGTTTTATGAAGACAGGGAGCATTGGCAGGTTTTAAAAATTCTGTACCTATCTAGAAAGCCACTGCCCTTCCAGTTTGGGGGGTGGAGGAGAGAACTTCTATTGCGTGTAGTCTACAGAAAATAAAAAGGCCAGTTTCTCCTTTTCCTTGCTTTCTGGTCACCAGAGTGGGCACACCTGAGCTCAGCTAATTGGATATGCTTACGTAGGTCTTTGATTCCATAGAAGGATGAAGGGATGTCTAGAATTCACTCACAATGGTGGAAGTAATGGAGTTAATGTACTGGGCAGACTTCCTGTAAGGAACTGTGCTTTTATGCCCTGCTTGTGGACCTCAGTGGGTACCTTGTTTCCTGCTGATTTAAGTACCTGCTCTCCAGCCTGAAGTGAATTCTGTAGTGTTCAAGCGACGAGAGTCAGTATCTATTGCTTACAGCCAAATAACATGAGTGGCAAAGTTACCCAAATAAGATGCTCTTTGGATGCTACAGATAAGCTTGTACATCACCTAATTTTGCAATTCACAGCAAAGGCATAAGTCCTGCCAACTTGTTAGCAGAAGAAATAAAATTTCATGGTTCTAAAGAAACTCAGGCAATAACCCTTTAAAAAGTCAAGAGGTTTATTAATCATGCCATGCTGCTTCAGAAGACCTTTAAAGATGGTAGATAACAAGAAGTGACTTAAGAAACTCTTACAAAGTAAGTTGAAATACTTGAGGGGTACAGAAGAAATGCTAAAGAAAAATGCCCTATTCAACTACATGTGATGCACATAGCACAGCTATGCTGTGTACAGTTTTAGTAAATGGTTTGTGGTCCTGCAGTTAAAATGAAATTTTCTCTTGAAATCATGATATTTCGAAGACTTTAAACATAAAAATGACACAGAGATCAGGAATAAAGAGGAGAAAACAAAAATAACTGTCACACATTTAGATTTAAAAAGAGAAAGCTAACCATACTTATAAAAACTGAATTTGCACTTTGGTAAAGCTAAATAAAAACTATTCAGACATATCCCATTCAACCATATAAATTATCAGAATAACTGAAGATAACATCTCTCTGGAGAATAAGACATATTTTCTAAACTTTTAAAGGAAGAATAATCAGAAACATTACTATTTTTAATGGGGTTATATAGAAAGTACAAACCCTTGACCTAAGGCTCCATAGGGCCCATGACATGTTATAATGTGCTACTGCAATTTATATTCTCATAAATGTTCAAGTTCAATTTCAACAGGTCAAGAAAAGTACTTTAGTCTGGTATGGAACAGTAAAAATCCCCTCAGTAGGGTATTTAATGAAGGTTCCCTCCACCAAATTATAGGATCACTTTCATTCAGTTTCATTTGGAAATGTGAACTAGAACTCATTAGGTCATGCCCTGAAGAATTTTCCCCAGAGGAAAATAAAAGGCATGGAGGTAGGAAATTAGAGTAACTTAATACTACAAAAAAGGTAAGTTACTTTGAAGCAAGATCAACCAATAGATGTCTAACATGGAAAGTTGGAGATATCATTAAAATTCATTTTTATGGATGCTCAAGTTGATAGGTCAATAAAGATCAAAAGAGAAACTGAGCCACTAGATGAAATGCTTTCAAAATGATAACTCAAGTGAAAAAAGTACCTCCACATTAAAAAAAAAAAAAAAAAAAAAAAAAGGTTATTAGTTCTTCTTTAAAGGCTTCATAATCCAGTGGTGAAATTTATCACTAAATGTCAGCACAGGAAAAGTGTAGATAAGAGAATATGACAGTTCATCCACTGAATATTCATGTATATTCTTATTTTATTCTCTAGACAAGATTAAATGCTCTTGAGGAACTGATCAATGTGTATTTTATGATACATGTTGTATTTCGTTGTCCCTTCTGCAAGTAGCATCCTGGGAGTACTTAATAAAACTTAACTGCATAGATGACTGAATCATTAATTACCTTTTGAAACTGAAGAAATTAAAAATATTCTACAAGTTCCCTAGGGGCTGTAGGGATTCTACTAACTATTGTTTAGAACCTCAAAGAACATATTATTAAGGACTGACTTCAGGACTCAAGTTCCCAGAACCACTAGGATCTGTTTAAAAATACTGATAAAATACCCCTTTCCTGCATGCTCATATCCTTTCTTTGTGTCCTCTTTATTTTACTGGATTATGGGGCAGAAAGTTTCTAAATACCAAGAACTGATTATCTCATCTACCAATTGCAATGCCATGAAAGAGATACTATTATTAATTATATTTTAAGGAAAAATACAATGAGGTTTAGAGAAGTGACTTCCCCAAGGTTATATAGCTTGTAAATGGTTGAAATGGAAATCAAGGACTCAAAGTTCAAGCGGTAAACCACAGGTTTATTCTGACGCCTCTGTATACATGAAGATAGAGAAAAATGAAATGCCCTGTATTATTCTATGGCAAATTACTTGAGATAGCAAATGGTATATTGTTTCCTTTGCTCCACCAAACCTCCCTCAGCCCATCCCCACACATATCGTGACCATTGCTACATCAACTGCTAAGAAAGGAAGAAACTACATCTTTGTCTATACGCACAGGCCACTATTTGAGTATGAGATGAGATATGGAAGGTGGAGGATATTTGCAATTACAAGGTTTACTTCCTGACCCACTCTACCCCTAAACTGATAAAAGTGAACCATATGAAGCAGAGGAAGAATTTTAAGATCAATCAGAGTGAAACACATGTTGTATTTTGCCCCAAAATATTCTACAAGTTCCCTAGTTGGTGACTTAGCAACTCCCAAACAAGGGCAGGGAGGAGGAACTCAGGGAAAAGGCAAAGAAAGAGGGCATGAGGTAAAGTAAAAAAGTGATAGATACTTACTTTCCTACCCTCACAATCTCCCTTTTATAAGGGATCACAATTGGATATGGAGGGGAGATATAGGTTGCCAATGTGTCCAGGTAGAAAATAACAAGGTGAGTAAAGGGGTCAGCAATTGCCTCTGTCAAGATATCTCCCAGTCTAGATGTAGACAACCTTGTATTCTGACCACAGGGTACTTTACAATGACAAGAATAAAATAGTAAGTAAGAAAAATCACTTAACCAGGAAGCTATGTTGAGTCCAGGTAGGTGACTGAATTCATTTAACATGACACCATAAAGGTCAACACTATGCCCTATATCTAGAAAGTAAGGATTTAATCATCATGCCAACAATGGAATTACCCACTACAGACCAGATGGAGGTTCCTTTCTTATAAACAATTTCTGCCCATCATGTCCATGGGCCCCTCCCTCTAGTCTCAATACCTGTGGCCTCTCAGGGTCAAGAAAGTAGAAAAGAAGCCTACATGGTATTATTAGTAAACTGGACTGAAAAATAAACCCTGAATTCCCAAGAACTCATTGGCATGCACTGATTGTATATTAAGAGGATTTAGATTTAGTTTTCTTGCCATCAGGGAAAAGGCAGGGTCAGAGTGAAAACAAACAGATATATAAAATATATCTATTTTCCCTCTCTGGTGTTACTTTATGATAGAAAAGTGTCTTTTGAAACAAAGGCTTATGGTCCAATATTCTTATAAGTAAAGATGCATAAAAGAAATGTGGGATTCAATTATGTTTTGAAATAAAAGCTTAATGTACTCTGTGAAATGTCTGAAGAGAGTATAATTAAAAGAATCAGTTAAAATTACCTATATTTTTATGTATTCTATGAGAATTATAAAATTAAAGGTTACTGAATTTAA